CACCCATCAAGTACCTTCCTCCTGAATGTGACCTCGGGCTAACCGTGGGCAAATCCTCGGACATCTGGTGCCTTGGCTGCACCCTGGCCGAGCTCTTCAGCGGGGTGGAGCTGTGGGATCTGCATGGGGTTTCCCACGTGCAGTACGAGAGGGTTCTGAGAAGGAAAAGGGAGGAGAATCTCCCCCCTGATGCCCTCGTGGCTGTTAGTGATGAGGAGTTTCCCGGTGTAAGGGAGCTCCTGGAAAAGGCGCTCTGTTATGACTATAAGAAACGGATCAGTGCGGCTGAAATGTCGGATGAGTTTGCGGCCATGTGCGTGAATGCACAGTAACTGAAATATATTATGTCATTTGTTGTAGCCTAGCCTGGGTTCCAGACCCATAGCCAGGCGCACTGAGATATTTGTGTCCAGTGTGCTATGGGTCTGGCATCCAGGCTAATTTGTTTAACTTAAATAGCATTAATGTGTACATTTCAAAAATTTTTACTTCACTGTTTTAGAGTATAGATATTAACCATTGCTTGCGTGGTCTGCTTTTGAATTGCCATTTGACTATGTGTATCACTACTCAGAGAAAACATTCTAACAGTTTTACCATTTACAATTCACAAGACCCTGACCCTAGATAATATAGTTTCATTAAAATGATAGATCATGAGATATTCGAGTTTGCTTTTACATAACTGAGTTTCCCTTCTGACTTGCCAGTGGTTTAGTAGTCCGTCTGCTAGTTTAGTCGATCGGTCGGTGTTGAAATGACTACAGCGGCTGCTCACCAATCATCATATATATCTGCTCACCAATAGGGAGCGCTGAGTCAAGGAAAGTGCGGTCTGCTTGAATGTCGATGAGTCCAAATCGATATCCTACGTCCAGCGTCCACAACGGCTACTCTCCAAGCAGAGGTTTGGGTTTTGGGGGTATTTTTAGCGTGTTTTTAGGCTTTTTTAAAAGGGGTTTCTCTTTTGCACTGAATTTTTTTATTTTGTTTGGTGGGAAAAAAAATTCAGTGCAAGAGAGAAACCCCGATAAAAAAAGCCTAAAAACGCGCTAAAAATACCCCCAAAACCCAAACCTCTGCTTGGAGAGTACACAACGGCGCCCTCGCGAAATGATATTCGCGCGCACCATTTTGCGCCACAAATTCCTGAATGAGGAAACAAACATCACAAAAGCAGAACGTCCGTACCTATCCACCTGAAGTTTGTGTTCTTTGTACCCACAGTAGGTAGTATTGCGTAACGTGCGTATTGCGTAAATGGTACGGTGCGGCTAGTACGGTGCGGCGTGGCAAATTTAAACGGGCGCGGGTTCGAATCTCTCGAAAAATGCAAGATAACCAGAAGCAAACTCACAGCTTAAGTTTCGGTGTAGCTTGTGTTTGTGGTATTTGTGTCGAAAGGCTTCTTACTTCTTTCGTACCCTCATAACTCATATGTAACTTACATCGAGGCTCGATACAGGACCACAAACGAAAGAACAGTACACACGAACAGACACACGGCAAACAGGCCAGTGGGAGGAGTCAGCAAGACCCAAGAAAAAACGGAAGCAAGGACATTATACGTCTCTGACGGAAGTCAGCAGGAGTCAGCAGGTAGACAATGGAGGTAAACAAGTTGACTCCATCCTCCAAACCGGCTATTAAACAAAAACCGACTATTCCACTTTCCTACAGGGTAGGGAGGTTGGAGTCCGAGTGCTAGCAGCCCGAGTACTAGTGGATACCAGGGCGGTTGAAACATGAAACACGCATTGACCACACTAACTTGGCATAACCTTTCTGGTGTGTTTTGTTTTTAATTTTAAACCAAGCTGTGATGACTTACAACCTTCATGCTGTTCCTTCCCTCCCTCAATTTTAATGGCAGATTCGTTCCTGGATATAATAAGGCAGCGCGGCGACGCAGCGGCGCACGCCACTAGCACTGGCACATCGGACCCCACTACCACAGCGCACGGGAACTGTAACAGCAAATACATTTAAGTATTTGAATCTGTATTCCTGCACGCCGTGGAAATGGATCACCAACTTCCCAAACAAGGTAAGACGATTATATCAATTATACAGCCAGTACAGTACCACAAGGCACGTAAAGTTTAACAGCAAATATATTTTAGTGTTTGAATCTGTATTTCTGCACGCTGTGGAAATGGATCGCCAACTTCCCATACAAGGTAAGACAATAGAACAATTATTCTTAGAGGCGTGAATAGATGTTACATGAAGTTAGATTCAAATAGTTCGTTTTGAAGGTAAAAATGGGGTACCTGAAAACTCCACCGTAAGGTATACATGTTAACAGAGAGTCACCCTGATTTCTTCCTGAATTCTGCTTTGGGGCATTAATAGTTTGGCATGGATTTCAGACTTACTGGTTTCTGATCTATATTTGCTTAGAATATAAACTTAATAGGGGTGAAATTTGGAGGGATCAGATATATTATTGTTCCCTATATTCGAGGAGGCCCTAAAATAGAGACCACTACATGTACATGTCGCAGGTTGGTGTGTCGTAGATTCTAGTGGTCTGTCGTCTGTGATAATGAAATCACCACCTAAAGTTAAGTTTTCTTCTGCACAGTACAGAAATTTTGCTTGTGGTTGGTGAGAATATACATGGTCATATATCACAGTTTACTCTTACGGTCTGTATGATAGAATTGTCTCTCGGGACTATAGATACTAGTATGTGCAGCGCGGACAAATATGAAGTTTCAAGTCCTCTGATATGCCATCACCCTCTAATATTTTGGCCAATTTATTTCACTTTCTGCCCACCAACAGGCTGGTTCGTGTGTTCTCTCTTACAAGTACATTTACAATACAAGTGCAAACTGTTATGCACTAGCGGGCCCGGTATAAGCCTACCGCGAGCTTGTCGGACCCTCCTCGGTGCTGGGTGCGTTGCCCGTCCGCCGAGGTTATTCAGCGCGCCCCGGTACGTTTTATTAGCCTCCACCAGGCCTTTCTACGTCAAGCGTACTTCTACGGGCGACTTTTAACCTACTGTAGCAGGGTTTTCTTTTGCACCAGCCACTGCGCGCTCGTGGTGTTGTGTTCTGTGTTGACGGTGGTGTGCGCGGGCCTGTTTGCCGGGCTGGCCGTGTACTTCAGGTTGATGTGTCGAAGATTCTAGTGGTCTGTCGTCTGTCGGTGCGAGTGCGGTGATAATGAAATCACCACCTGGAAGTTCTGTACGGTGCAGAAATTTTGCTTGTGCTTGGTGAGAATATACATGAACATGTATCACAGTTTACTGTGCACTGTTAGGGTCTGTATGATAGAATTGTCTGCAAGTTCAACAGATCTCGGGACTACAAGTATGTGCAGCGCGGACAAATATGAAATTTCAAGTCCTCTGATATGTCATCATCCTTTAATATTTTGGCCAATTTCTTTCAATTTCTGCCCACCAACAAGCTGTGGTTTGTGTCTTCAGTCTTACAAGTACGTTTACAATACAAGTACAAACTGTTACGCACCAGCGGACCTGGTATAAGCCTACCGCGAGCTTCTCGGATCCTCCTCGGTGCTGAGTGCGTTCCCCGTCCGCCGAGGTTATTCAGCGCGCCCGGTACATTTTGACGGGGTGGGAATCGCGCGTCCCAGCAGGAGCTAACAAAGCGGGCTGCCCTTAACACTTGACGCCATCCAATCAGCGCGCTGTATTCGCAAATACAGGCTTGTAATTGGATGACGAGGTTTACTCAATCATTACAGGGTCATGACTTCGCCGTCAGTTTTCAATATAAGTTATAAGTACTTCTGGATAACATGCAGTACATTTGGAAACAATGCACGGCATTTCAGCAAATGTGTATGTAGTTCCCAACAGCCCGCGAAGACGAAAACCAAACGTATTATATATATTATAGCTCCCGAGTCCTATATCCTCTTCGCAATTACCAACGGTAGTGCTACAGGTAAATGTAAATGCTACACTGTTCACAGTTGAACCAAGTGAACGACTGAAAAGATACTGAAGGCAGTTTAGTAATACTAGCCTCTACCTAGCCGTGGACGACTCTGGTACCCGGCATTTGAATATCATGCAAAAAGGGTACCAGAGTCGTCCACGGCTAGCCTCTACCAGGCTTCGGGAGACGGCTGGGAAGAGTACAAATCGTCCAAATAGAGAGATAACATGCCAGGGGAGTTGGTCCGCTAGAGAGTACAGTTTGCCGCAACCACTCTCTAGCGGACCGACTCCCCTGTTTTCGCTATGTTGCCGATTTCTACTTTTCCAGCCGCCTCCCGAAGCGTGGTAGATTCTAGGCAGTTTAATACCACATAGTAAATACCACATATCACTTTCCCGCCTTCCTGCTGCCCCCCTCTCAGTATCGAATGGTATCGACTATCACCATGGGCCTTAGCCTCTACCAGGCTTGAGGGCGCGGCAGGAAATATAGTAGAAATTGGCCAAATAGAGAGATATAACACGCCGAGGGAGTTTAG